GTTTGGCTATTGTGGACATTGCTGCTATAAACATTGGGGTGCACGTACCCCTTCGGATCTCTACATTTGTATCTTTGGGGTAAATACCCAGTAGTTACGCTTGCTTTTCTATTGTAATCGTTACTACTACTCTATTTTACCATCAAGTGTGCCCTCTTTGAAAGATAAATTAATGATCTCCTTACATTTTAATTCTCAAACAATCTGTGCTAACATTGGTATTAATTACATCCATTTACCAATGATTAAATACCAGAAAACTGGTTTGGTTTTGCATAGCTAGGTCATAGCTGAGTCAATATTCAAATTAGATCAGTCTTACTTCAAAGCTCATGCTCTTGAATGAAGTACCACACTGCTCATGTAAATATCTGATGTCATTTAATAACCATGAAATTATATAAGATGTATTTATTGTCTACATTTTGAAGATGAAAATATTGAGGAAACCATATGCTGTAACTTATAAATTTGAGGTCTATTGTATTCAGAATCTTGCATTTTGTTGTCTTTTATATTGTAATTCCTGCCTTTGAAGATCAGCCCCCCACAAAAGGCAGGCCAACAGGATGGCTGGCAAGAACAGCTACAGAAAGAGTTGCAAATAGGGCCTTATATCAGCTCTGAGCCAATCAGTTGGGACCTAGTAGATCAGGTCACGATGTAGGTCTCTCTCTCTTAAATATTTACCCATTTAGAACAACAATATGCAGTAAAATTCAGGTAAGTCCAAGTTATTAAAATCAGACCCCTTAGCTTTATAGGAAACCAGAAGGACCTCAGATGAGCAAATACTTAGTGTACAAATAGGATATAATGATGACTCCACGTACAAGGTCATTCTCATTAGAATACTGAGAACAGTCTCATTTTCTAAAAATTGGAGTCACTGTTGGCAGAATAATTGAGTGTTAGATTTATGAAAATATATTGGAGTCATCCATTCTTTTGAGTATTTAATGATCCATTTAAGTTTAAGCCATACGCATTTCAAAACAAAGACATTCATTGTGCTATCATAGGAGTTTCTACTTTAAGAAAATTCTGTATAAAGCTGTTTTTTATTTTAACAACATTCTTTTAAGTGTTAATCCCATTTTACTGTCTAGTCTAGATCAGGGTTTCTCAACCTTGGTGCTACTGACATCTTTGGACTGGATAATTCTTTGCCTTGTGTATTATGGGACATTTATTAGTATCACTTGTCTCTACACACTAGATGCCAGAAGCACCTTCTCCATAGTCATGACAATACAAAATGTTGCCAGATATTGCCAAAAGTCTGGGGCAAGGGGAACAAAATTGCCCAGTTAGGAACCACTGGCATACAGGCTTCCTCTATGTTAGTCTAGGAAATTGACAAGGTAGAAAATAAGGGAATTAATATTAAATGTAGGGCGCCTGGGTGGCTCAGTTGGTTAAGCGACTGCCTTCGGCTCGGGTCATGATCCTGGAGTCCCGGGATCAAGTCCCGCATCAGGCTCCCTGCTCAGCAGGGGGGTCTGCTTCTCCCTCTGACCCTCTTCCCTCTCATGCTATCTCTCATTCTCTCTCTCAAATAAATAAATAAAATCTTTAAAAAAAAAATTAAATGTAAAACTCTGATAACATTCAGTACCAGTTCAAATTTCCTTAGAAGTCAGAGTTCTGGTGAATTTAACTTGGCCAAATTTAGGAGTAATGGCTTGGAAACAAACCTGACTTAAGAAAGAGATGTTGGGGAGGGTATATGTTCTATGGTGAGTGCTGGGAATTGTGTAAGACTGATGAATCACAGACCTGTACCCCTGAAACAAATAATACATTATATGTTAATAAAAAAAATAAATAAAATAAAAAAAAAAAAGAGATGATGGGAAAGATAAAGTACTGGCTTTCAGGCTTCCAGAATCAGCACAAAATCTTCAAGAGAAGATCTCCCCATGTAGGTCCTTCCTTTCTGGCAGTGGTTAGGGCTCTCTGAGAAGTGCCCCAAATCTCCAAGGGAAGTCCACATTTTCTCTCTATTTCCCTGCCCTTTGCCCTGTCCTAGCATGAGGCAAAGTTTCTGTTTTGCAGCTCAAAGTTAATGGGCAGTATTCTACATGTTAGGGATGGAGTCCAGAGATGAAAAAACACTGTCCACAGGGGGCATTTTCACTTGGGGTCACTCCTAAATTTGGATTAGTCTTCCTCCACCCTTGCATTCTCTCTACTTTTCATCTTATCCTCCAGTGCAACAGGTAATGCTATGGATTCCTACAGATCCCCCAATTCCAACCTTCTCTATCCATCTTCCAAATCAGGCAAGGATGGGAGGCGCCATGGTAGAGGAAGCATGAGGAAGACTTCAGTTATTTTTAGGTTTCTTTTTTCCATGTCTCTTTGTGATGACAAAGTGGTAAGAATTCAAGGGCCAGAGTATCTCAGGAAAGAGGCTATTAAAGGGGCTTTCTGCCATAGTTTTAATGCAAGTTCGCTCAGCGCATAAGTATTTAGAGGCCCTGATTTTCAATTTCCATCTATGTTAAAGACCTGAATAATATTCAAGCCTCATCTTCCTCTTCCTCTCTTAATTGAGTCTCAGGTAAGAGATAATCCAATTGCTTTATAATTAGAAAAGTTGACATTTTACCTGTCACTGGATTTCACACTTTCAATAAGAATAAAGCCAATGATGAAACCGTAGGTATCAGTCACAGGCCAATACAGAGGTTTTTACTTTAGAGACGAGCCACGTATTTGAATTTAGAGATGCAGAAAATTATATAAAAACAGTCAGTTTTTCTACTGCTTTTCTGAACTCTTTGGGTGAGACAATCCACATAAATGGGGGATTTGTAATCATTGTTTGGGTAATAATTAACCACTGTGTGGGGAAGGGCCTGCCATTTCTTGAAAGCTTGGATGTGAAACTACAGACTAGATTTCCAAGTGTCATAATCAAAGCATCATCTGTTAGGAATGAATCAAACATCTGTATTATTTTTTAAAACTTGAGCTTATTTGAGAATGTTAACAGTCATGAGAAACCTGTGATCAGTGTTTTGCAGAATCACTTTAAATAGATATTCCTATCACTGTTTAGAAGCAAGGAAAAGAATCATCTGTGTGTTCACTTTGTGGGGCTTACGCAGTGAAATTAAATGAGCTAAAAATTTTTTTCAGGAGCCTTCCTTTTATAAATTGGTGAGCAGAAGAATTTAGTGGTTAATTATTATACATTTATTTTGGAAAGTCAAACATAGTTTTAAACATTCATTTTATTTGCAGGAACCATACATGGAAAATGATAGAATGATAAAACTCCGTTCTATTCTAAGCTAGTAAGTTGTTTCTAAGACATAGGTTGCTGAAATTGTAAACCTTTTAATAAAGAATGTAGGTTGTGGAAATGTATGTTAATTTGAGATATAGAAAGTTAAAAAAATAATATTCTCAAGGTTATATGCAAATAGTCACTAACTACGGGAAGGTTTTTGAAAACATGATGTGATGATAATAATTAGAGCTTTGAATGTCAGAAATTTAGGAAATGGACCAGCCATTTAAAAGGCAAGTATGTATGAAACAAATTTGTATTTTCATGTTCATTCTAAGGACAGAGGAATAAACTGTTAAGGTTAGTGCTGCAAACAGGCGCAATAACTTTGTTACAGAGCATTTCACTTCTCTGCTCTTGTTTTCCTTTAATTGTCAAAATGGGAAATAGCTGCTTCAGTGGCAAAATGCATTGTGAAATGCAAGAATTGTCAAAGAATGCAATTGCTCTATGGCATTCAATTTGAATCTTGATATACCTATCTGAAGCAGGTTAATGCCAATAAATTGTGGCAATAACAAACTGTGAAATCCAGAGGTTTGCTTCTGCTTTCATAGCATAGTATTTTCCCTGAAGACAGCAGGCAATCCAAATGCAAGCTTGCTTCATTCAGAAAGCACAGTGTCTGCAGATTTTTGGGTTTCATTATAATAACCTGAAAGTGAGATCACAGGAAATGTATTAGTGAATAATGGATCAATTGAAATTGATTAGCTAGCAAAAAATCACCCCTGTATATAAATCTTTCTGAGGAACAATCACCTTTAGCTTGAAAAATACACATGTTTGTCATTTCAGGAGAAGACAGTGAAATATTTAAAGTATTCTGTTTGCTAGACAAATGATTCCTTCAAGTCTCTAATAAGCCTGCTTTAAGTTTTCTAAAAAATACAGCTGATATTTTACCTTCTTTAGTTATCTTTCCTGCATCAGAAACCAAATTCCTTTTCAACTTGGAGTCGAGTAGGAAGCTAAGAAAAAAAAAGAAAAAGATACAGAGCTAGCATTTCTCCATTTTAAGGCAGAACAAAGAAACATGATAAAGTCATAGTTGCCTTTCATAGGAAAATAGCTTCATAGAGGGAACTGGCAAGACATTCCTCCACCTTAAAAGGAAAGAAGCTTTGTAAAGCTCACCGAGAGCAAAGTCCTTGAGTTCACATTTTATTTCCATTTTGAGGGAGAATAGCCTAAGTACTGGGAGTTTATATTCTTTTTCTCTTACCCCAAATATTGTTCTCAAAAAATATGCCATGATTGTTCGAAAACATCTTTTTTTTGTGGCTAGTTAAAATCAAAAGAGCAGTTACCTGTGTTTCTCGTAAAGACATTTATAGATCTTGTAGAAGGATCTTTGTTTGACAAGCATATTTTCATAAACTCAGAGGCCTTGGTGGTACCCCACGATTCTGTCCAGTGAGTTTAACGGGTCCTTATACTTTAGACTCTTTGGTCTATAGCTCACTGGTAGCCACAGGGTGGTCCAGAAATGTAAATCTGTCAATCAGTTCTTAAGGGTAAATGACTTTTAGGAATCTTTATGATTTACTCAGAACATAGGAGAGCTTAAAGGGTTATTAAAAATTGGTTTATTATGAGAACTTACCAAGGGCTCTAATTCTGGATTTTAGCAAGAAATCCAGCTGCCACATGATCCTGAGCCATAGTGAAAATTTCCTACATCACATATGTAGATAGTTGGAATAACATGCTTGTTTTTGAAGAACAATTTGTGATCAGGACATTAGCAGTGTTGCCTTGAACTAGTCTTGGTTCTCAATGGCTGCTCTCTTTGCTTCATGTTATTTTTAGCTTCTTGTTAGCAATTCATTTTCAGTTAACTCTACATGTGAAGTGATGCTATTTACATGAACAGTATTTTGGGGTTACATTTTTTCCTCAGCTAGACTTTAAGGACTATATACATTGTGGTTCAGATAGACTCATCATATTACTATTGCTAAAAAAAAAACATGTATCCATCACTCCTCTAAGATTTATTTGGTCTGTACATGGTAAATTTAGCCATACTTTGGCCTTGGTGCCTTTTTCCTTTGAATTCCTTCTTTGCTTTTTTTCTAAATAGTTAATTTCCTTAAATTACTGCTCATGCAGTAATTTGCACACAAAAGCTTATGTAACCTATTTTGTTCATATTTGTTAAAATGTTTCAAAGCATAGGATAGAAGGCTCTACATTCTTTCTCAACAAAGTTCTTTTTTTTTTTTTTTTGCATTTTATAAAAATTAACATAAATACAACCTACCTTATTGCGGAAGGGTATGTTATGTAACATATTTTCATTGCGGGCACTTTCATTACCTAGAAATATAAACTCTGTTACTATTTCGTCTTTTACATATTTAATGATTCATTTATTAAACACTTCTAAAAAACAATATATGCTCTGAGTAGGATGTAGGTAAAGGGCAAAATTACTGAAGAGATACAAAGGGGCATATTGAAAGGGCACCCTTGGCAAGTAAGCTGTTAGTTTCTCCTCCCCATATAGTTGACTATAGGATGCTGAGGAGTTGCTTCTGTTCAAACACAACCCAGAACCTTTGAATAACAACCCCTGACTAGATTATGCCGCCGCCTTCTTCTTCGTTTTCCCCCATTTACCGTGATCAGTCAATTGCAAAGTACTCTTTTTAATGAAAACTTGTTCCTACTACTCCCCATTGGCCACTGCTCCTCTTGCCTTTACCACCGACTTTCCATTTTCCATCCCAGCCCCGTGGCTCGCTTCTATTGCTCTTCTCTGTTCCCATAGTCACTGCCTTAGTTCAGGCTGTAGACAGTTGCTCCTAGGTTAGTCAGAGCTCCCCAGCTGGTCTCTGGCCCCTCTTGACCCTGCCAACTTTCTGCATACATTCCTCCCCACCATGCTAAAGTGGATCACCCTCTGAAATGTTATTCCAATTTCATTTCCTGTCTCAGTAACTCCCACTTATTAAGTGTCAGCTCCCACTAACACATCATCATCAGTCTTTATAGCAGTTCCCCAAGGTAGAAGTCTGGTCTCCATTTTACATATGAAGAAACTGAGGCCTAAAGAGTTTAAGTGGTTTGCCAAAGGTAGTAACCGGTAAGTTGTGAAGGGCCAGGCCCATCAGAGTTCAAAGCACATGTTTCTTACTGTGTAACAATGCCTCTACATTGCTATTCTAGAATCACCTCCAAGTTATTTTGGATGTCAAGTGGTTTTGCATATACAGAGAAAATCTATATGAGTTTTTGCACTGACCTGCCTAATCATATTAGGTTTACATTAATATGGAAACTAGTTTACCATGTACTTTTTTGTAGTCTGATATTCTTAGTAAATACCAAAAACTTACCATTTGGATGGTGCACAATGGCGAGTTTATCTAGAAGACAGAAAGAGTGCATTCTATTGAGTTTTGCTCAATATTTATCTTAAACTTTCTTTTTTTAATTGTTTGACTACTTCTTATCTTTGATGTGACTATGAAATTTCATAGTCTGATTAAAAAAATACTGATTTCTGGTGACAAAGTGTGAAACCATGTCTTTTACTACTTTTGTCTTTTTTCCTTCTGATGCTTGTCCCAAGATATTATGATTTTAGATATGTTAGACACTTAATAAAAGCTTACTACTCTGCTTTGATATTCTTTTAGCCTGAGCTACGCCATTCTTTTTTTGAATTAGCATTATTCACTATGTATAGTACAACTCAAACATTTTAAAGTATATAGGTTTATAACTTTTTTTTTTAAAGATTTTATTTATTTATTTGTCAGAGAGAGAGAGAGAGCACAAGCATGGGGAGCGGCAGGCAGAGGGAGAAGCAGGCTCTTTGCTGAGCTGAGAGCCTGATGCGGGGCTAGATCCCAGGACCCTGGGATCATGACCTGAGCCAAAGGCAGACGCTTAACTGACTAAGCCACCCAGGTGCCCCAGGTTTATAACTCTTGACAAATATACACAGCCATGTGTCCATCACCCAATTAGGATAGAGAACATTTCTCTCTACAGAAAATTCCCTTGTGCCCCCTGACATCAATCCTCACCCTATTACCTCTAGTGACCCTGATCTGATTTCTATTCTATAGTTTTATCTAGAATTCCAGATAAATGGAATCTCAAACCATGTACTCCTTCATGTTTGGTATCTTTCATTTAGCATAATATCTGTGAGATTCATTCATGTTGTTGTGTGTAATAGTAGGCATTTCTTTCTATTGTTGAGTAGTATTCCACTGTATGAATATACTTCAGTGTAATTATCTCTTCTTCTATTGGACATTTGGATTGTTTCTGGTTTGGCCATTGTAAATGAAACTGCTATGAATTTTGTGAGCAAGTCTTTGGATACACATAATGTCGCCCCTCTTTTTTTTTTTTTGAAAAATCCCTAGGAGTGGCTGGTCTAGGCCATAAAGTAGGTGCATATTTAACTGTTCCAAAGTCACCACACCCCTTTACACTTCCATTAGCAATGCATGCAATGTATATCAAGTTGTTCCATAGCTGAATCACTTCATTTTGACAATATCTAAAAATTCTAGCCTTTATATTTGGTGTGTACTGATATTTCATTTTCTTCTGCTCTTATTGCCTCCTTCCCAGCCTCATCTTTGTTGAATATGTAAAATATTATGTTCAGAGGAGTGTAATATTTTTTTTTTTTAGTTTTGTAAGTTTTGTTTTTTAATTAACTTGTTCTTTTTTATCTAAGTTGTTAAATGTATTGGCAAAAAGCTAATTATATTTCCTTAGTATCTTTTTAATACCAGTAGGATCTGTTGTGATAGCCTCACTTTACTTTCCTGATATGGTAACTCTTGTTTTCTTTTTTTCCAGTTCATTTTTGTCATGGTTTTATCAATTTTAGTTATGTTTTCAAATAACTAATTTTTGGTTTTGTACATTTTTCTATTGTTCATCTCTTTCATTTTTTACTGATTTTTAATCTGATCTTTCTAGTTTTTCCTCTTATCTCTTTTTGGATTGAGTTTGCTTTTCATTTTCTAGTTTCTAAAGTGGAAACCTAGATCACTGATCTTAAGTTTTTCCTCTTTTCTACTATATTATTTACTATAATATTTATAGCCATAAATTTACCTTGAAGTACTATTTTAGTTGCATTCCACCCATTTTTATATGTTGTATTTTCATTATCATTCAGGTTGAAATATTTTCTTGTGATTTCTTATTTGACCCTTCGGTTGTTTTGAAATGTACTTAATTCCTAACGATTTTGAGACATTTCTAATTTCTTAATTAAATTCTAATTTATTTCTGTCATGGTAAGAGAACATAAGATTTCAAAAGGCTGAAATCTTTCTGAGAACATACTCTGAAGATTTCAGTCTTTTGAAATTTATTGAAACTTTTTAAATATCCCAGCATATGTTCTATTTTGGTAAACCTTCCATGTATACCTTAAGCAGACATGTATTCTAATTTTTTCCCATGTTATGTTCTGTAAATATCAATAGATTACCTATTTATTCACTCCTTAAAACCATATTTTTTATTAATTTAACTGTGGTTGTAAGAGTTGCTTTAAAGTCTTTGTCTGTTAAGATCAACAATGGGACCATTTTTCTTATTACGGTCAGTTAGCCAGGATATAGTATATCACCAGTTCTTGATGTAGTGTTCAATGATTCATTAGTTGTGTATAACACCCAGTGCTCATCACCATACGTGCCCTCCTTAACGCCCATCACCCAGTTACCCCATCCCCCCACCTCTCCCCTCTGTATCTTTCAGTTTGTTTCCCGGAGTCCAGAATCTCTCATGGTTTGTCTCCCTCTCTGATTTCTTCCCATTCAGTTTGAACAATGGGACCATTTTAGATGTAATTTTTATTGATGGCTTTTTCTTTTCTATGGATTACATTTTCCCATATCTTTGAATGTCTTCCTTCTTTTAAAAAAAAAATTGAATGCTGGACATTATAGACAATCAGTTGTGTATTCTGGATTCTATAATATTCCTCTAATAAGTAATAAGTGTAGGTTCTCATTTTAGCAGGCAGTTTGATGACTGGCATGAACTTGTATAGGCCTGGTTTTATGCTTTTTCCAGTGTTGATCTATAGCCGCCCATGGTGTTTTCTAAAGCCCTCAGTGGGACTGAGCCTACAAACTCCGCCTTCCATGTGAACCTTATAGGGGCTTGGTTTTAGGCTTTGTTAAGGCAGGTCTAGAGGAGGTCCTCTAGAGGAGGCGTCATGGCGTTTAATCATTACATCTCTTAAGTGTCACAGCAGGATGCCAGTTTTAACAATGTGTTAAGGAGATCTTTCCACTCTGGCAGGGCAAGAACTCAAACATCCCCAGTATGGCCTTTCCCTGGCTCTGCTCAAACTCTAGTGTCTCCTTTTGCTTTCAGTGTCCTAGAAGCTGTTATCTTGTATGCCTGAGTGGTCTTGCCCTGCACATGTACAGCTCATCTCTTGGCCACAGACTTGTGGCCTCTGAGGCTACCTCTCTATACAGCTACCTCTTCTTCAGTGATCCACCACACACATTCTAGAAGCTTTGGCTGCCCTGAACTCTGATCTTTGCCTCCTCTTGTCACAGGATTGCCCTGCTTTGCACAGACTATAGTCAGAAAATCAGTCTCCTGGGCAATCATTAGAGTCATCTTGTATATTTTGTCACTGGAATTATGGTCTTAGGCTGCTACCTGCCTACTCCCTGAAATCAACTGCCTCATATTTTTGCCCAGTGTTAGTGTTCTGTACAGTGGGTTTGCCTGGTACTACTTTTGGTTAGAAGGGGAACTAGCCGATTCCTAATTAAGACACCAATGGTTAAAAGCATTGACTTTGGATTAAAAAAGAAATAAGTTGTAGTTTCTAATCTGTGTGTCTTTGGGCTTCTTAGTTTCTTATGATCTGTTTCTTTATTTATAAATTGGGACTAATGTCTACCTCAAAGGATTATTGTAAGAAATTAAAAAGATAACATTTAAGTGTATAGTAGATAGTCAAATATTAGCTGTTACTACCTAATGTTCCTTAGTGAGGATATTTATATATTTTGTAATTTGATACATTGTTAAAATTTTAATCTTTTTCCACATTAGAATGGAGATCTGTAGAACTCAGGTATCTGTAAATCAGCTTGCATTTATGAACTTAACTATTTTAGAAAGTGTATTTCTGTTTTTAGAAAGAGAGCTTAAAGAATTTTCTATGGAAAAGCAGATACCAATTTGATAATATGAAAATAAACTTTCTCAGGGTCAATTTCAACATGAAGCACTAGCTAAAATCTATGCAATCTTATTGAAAATGGAAGAGATGGAAATTTCAAGGTTTGCTAGGGGTTGTCAGTTTTTAATTATCTGTGCAGGGGTAAGGACTTGGGGAAAGAGTGGTCCAATTGCGACAACATAATTTATTTTCAATTTTGGAATGTGCTGTTTATCTTTGGAGAAGATTTACCATCTTAATAATGTTTGGTTTGTATTAATATGAAAATGAGCGTTTTTTTTTCCCTCCCTGAGAGCAACTGTTAATTATTAGCAAGGGGAATCTGCATTGCCAAGAAGCACGCTAGCTACCAGGGAAAGCAACCTGAGATTTACAATTTAAAATGATCCACATGTGGACAATTGTGAGAACTGACTATATTGAGAATATTCAACCTTATTAAAAAAGTATGGCTCCTTAATAATTCAGTACTCTGTATAATGAATGGCTCATACATATAAAAAAAAACTAGAGGGGAATTACCTTATTTGCAAATTTCATAGAAATCAAAGGAAAGAAACTAGCATTTACTGAAGGTTCATTATGGGTCAAAGAAGGTGAAAACTGTTTTAGATAGTAACTTGCACACAACCACTTCTGGATAGATCTATAATTACCCCTGTTTTGTAGACAAAGAACCTGAGTATCAGGGATTAGATGCTGTCCATTCACGCAGCTGGGAAGTGATGGAGCACAGATTTGAATTCAAACCTGTCAGACTCCATAGTCCTTGCATTTTCTTCTTTATCAGAGTGATAAAGGAATAACAGACAAATCTTACTTACCAGACACATTTTCTTCTTCTGGCCTTTTCCCAATAATGCAATCTCGTAGTTGGCGTAGTTTTTCCTTAATGAGGAATTGACCAGAAAATACAAGTGAATATTTACAAATTTGTCATGAATCAAGATGAAAACATCAAGTACTGTCACCAGGACCACCATGACTAGGTAGCACTAATTTGGTACTTACAGTGTCCTAATCAACCATCCCTGATATTTTAAATGTGTTATCTTACTTAATTCTTGCAAACCCATGAAGTATGTATGTCATCATCTCATTTTACATATACAGAAACTGAGATTCAGAGAGGTTACATAATTTTCCCGAAACACACAGTTTTTTTTTTTTTTTTTTTTAAAGATTTTATTTGACAGAGAGAGACAGCGAGAGAGGGAACACAAGCAGGGGGAGTGGGAGAGGGAGAAGCAGGCTTCCCGCGGAGCAGGGAGCCCGATGCGGGGCTCGATCCCAGGACTCTGGGACCATGACCTGAGCCGAAGGCAGATGCTTAACGACTGAGCCACCCAGGCGCCCCCGGAAACACACAGTTGTAAGTGATAGAGTCAGCATGGCGACCCAAAGCCCAATTCTTGTGGTTGCTGTTTTCCCAATCTAACACCTGAGGGGGCTATCTTGGCCATCTGGTGTCCAAAAGCAAAAGTGTGACACAGTGCTGATTTGCTACTGCCTGAGCCCATCTCCAGCTTCTGTGGGCACAATCTTTCCTATGAATTCCTTCTACGAACCAGGGACTTGGAAGCAAATGATACATGACTGGATTCCCCTTCTTAGCTCATTTGTGATCTTTCTTTGCTTTCTACAAAACATTCTACATTGCACATCTATTATCATTTTTACCAAAATGTAAAACAGGCTAACACTAAAAAGTGTCCTTTGAGAAGAGAATCTAAGAATAACACTTTTTCCTAAGGGTTTCCCTTGGAACCCAGAAACCATGTTTTCTAAAAAGAGAGCTGTTTTCATTAGCGTAATCATCCTTTTCTGGGAGTAAACATTCTTCTATAGGCACTTACTGGTTATGAGCAGCAGTGAAGAGGGTGAAAGGCAAGGTTTCTACCTTCTCAACCATCTCACCTTCAAAGCCAGGGGTTCTACATGGGTCTTCATTATTCTAGAAACTCTTCTATTACCAACTTTATGTTTGTGCCATTTTCCCTCTTATTTTCTTAGGATAATACCTCTGTCACTAATAATATAACATCACAGTTACCCCCGATAGATTTATCCTCAAGGTATAAATGAATATTTTTGCAAACTACAAGAGTAATATCGAAGAGTGTATAGGAATGAGTGTGTATATATGTTGGGAAAATGGGGAGAACATTTCTTTTTCTGTTATTCAGGGTGTTGTCCAGGCCCTTATGTTAAGGACTAAGAAAACATAAGGGAAAAAAGCTCCTTGACATTGGCCTTTGTAATAGTTTTTTGGATATGACACCCCAAAGCACAAGCAACAAAAGCAAAAATAAACAAGTAGGACTACATCAACCTAAAAAGCTTCCACACAGCAAAAGAAATGATCAGAAAATGAAAAGGCAACCTACAGAATGGGAGAAAGCATTTGCAAATAATCTATCTGGTAAGGGGTTAATATCCAAAATATATTAAGAATTCAAACAATGCAGTAACAAAATCCAAATAATCTAGTTAAAAAATGGTCAGAGAAAAGAAATGGGCAGAGGAAGTAAACAGACATTTTTTAAAAAAAAGACATACGAATGGCCAACAGGTATATGAAAAGGTGCACAATATCACTAGTCAATAGGGAAATGCAAATCAAAACTACATTGAGATATTATCACCTCACACCTGTTAAAATGGTTATCACCAAAAAGAGATAACAAGTGTCAGCAGGATGTGGAGAAAAGGGAATCCTTGTGCACTGTTGGTGGGAATGTAAATTGGTGCAGCCACTGTGGAAAACGGGATGTAGGTTTCTTAAAAAAATTAAAAATAGAACTACCATATGATCCAGTAATCCCACTCCTGAGTATATATCTGAAGAAAATGAAAATAGTATTTTGAAGAGATATCTGTACCCTCATGTTCACTGCAGGATTATCCACAATAGCCAAGATATGGAAAGAACCTAAGTGCCTGTCAATGGATGAATGGATTAAGGAAGAAGGAAATCCTGCAATCTGCGACAACATGAATGGACCTTGAGGGCATTATCCTAGGTGACAAAAGTCAGAGAGAGAAAGACAAACATGGTATGATAACATTTATATGTGGAATCTAAAAAAGCTGAACTCAGTGAGTAGAGTGGTGGTTACCAGGGACTGAGGAGTGGAGGGAAAGAGGAGAAGTTGGTCAAAGGGTACAAACTTCCAGTTAGAAGATAAATAAGTTCTGGTGATCCAATGTACAGCACGGAGATTACAGTAAACAATACCGTGTTATATACTGGAAAGTTGCTAAGAGAGTAGCTATTAAATGTTGTCACCCCAATACAGAAATGGTCATTTGGTGACATGATGGAGATGTTAGCTAACACTATGGTGGTAATCATATGTAAATGTGTGAAATCAGCACTGTAGTACACCTTAAATTTACCCAGCATTATAGCCAGTTATATCTCACTAAAGCTGGAAACATAACAAAGGAAAAGGACTGACTGATCGTCAAACGGTATTCAGTCAGTCACTGAACTTTTGGCTCTAATGGAAAACAGCCTTAGTGTTTGTTCTTGTATTTACAGGTTAAATTTTGTTTTGTCTTGCATAAACAGTAACCGTATTCAATATCCCATTTTTCCCATATATTGGACAAGTCAGATCGTCTCAAAGTAGTCAGAGGCCACCTTAAATCCTTGCTAAAACAGTATTAAATATAAATACACAAACAAAATAAAAACAACCAAGCCTTTAATAAAACAACTAGTCAAATAATTTCCAAGAAGGTATTTCGGTTGGATCACTCTAAATTGTAAACTTTATTATGATCTAAGAGAATGAGGCGCAACTGACTTATTTCAACAGAACTTATTGGCAATGCTAGGAGAGTGATTGTGTAGGTCTACACCTCGGCACAGTTTACCCATTTCAGGATAAGAGGGACTTTGACGGTGATGGCGTCAGCACGGATTGAGAAGCAATGTTGTCATTCTGATCATGAACGATGATCAGTCGCAAAACTGTACAATCAGCATTTTTTCCCATTTGTTTGGCAAAACAACTGCCCTTTCTTGGCACTGCAAAACCTGGCTCAGGTCCAGCCACTGCCCACGGCCAGAGCTGCCCTTCAAGACAGGTGACTTCTGAGAAGGAGTGATCTCAGAGGTGCTGGGAAAGTCCCCTTGCCTTAACTATCTTCTGCCTCTATGCCCATTTATTTGGAATGTTATCACTGGGATTCATTTTTCTGTTGTTTAAAAATGTGTTCCTAAGCATTGTTTTTCAATAAAAATGATCTCTTGGGAAAGGTAGTGTATTAAGCTATTAATGATTATTTGTACTTTGGCCGAAACTAGCTAATTAAATGTATTCAATCAAACAGTTTCCTGAGAACTGGTTTCTATGGCCCTGGGGCTTTCTGTGATGAGAAGAAAAAAACTGTTGGACTATTTTGGGAGTAGGAGGGCCTGCAGGATAAAACAGAATATGGTCCTGATACCCCTCACTGAGGAATGCCATGGGGTGTATATGGTATATTTTGTTTTCAGGCTCATCTCAGAACCACCTACTCTAATACCCTCTTAGGATGTATGTTATATTAATAGAAGACAAGCTTATCTGAAGTTAATACTCTTGGCCGCATTTGTCTGTAAATCTTGACTGATATATACAGTGCCTCCCCCCAAAGGTTAAGGGGAAGAGAAGAGAAAACTTCCTATATTTCATTGAGGACTATTGCCTGATATGATATAAATTATTTTCTTGTTCCCTTTAAGCCTGGTCAACATAATCTACTCTTCAGAATGCTGAGTACATGTTAGTGTAAAGATGCTTCACCTTAATTTCAGCAATGAGATTCACAAAACATTCACATAGCCTTATAAGATGATCAGGTATTAGCACTGATACACTGAGTCCCAGCATTGAGTTCACCAATGGTTTGTAAACATGAAACGTTCAATTGGTAGTTTGAAAACATCTTTTTTTGTGGCTAGTTAAAATCAAAAGAATAGTTACCTGTGTTTCTCGTAAAGACATTTATAGAGAGGCTCTGCAAGTGAGTGAATGTTCCAGAAGGGATTGGGGTCAGTATTACCTGCTGAATCATTTCCAGCTCAGTCTTTCCCATCTGCCAATGTTTAAATTTCTCTAGGGCTTCATCCACAGATAGTTTCCCATTTTTGACCTTCTCCTGCAAGAGGATGAGTTCTTCCTGCCCAGCAGCAAGAGAGTCCACAGTGGAAAAGGCTTGACTTTCCATCCGAGCTCTGTCTACAATATGAGGGGAAATGTTTTAACAAGAAGACAATATATGACAATTGGGGGGAAAAAAAAGCACTCTAAAAACAAATCAGTAGAGTTTCTTGTTCCTGCCAGTCTACAAGCAGTTACAGAATAAATCAGTACAAAATTTTTAATGAGTTTCTTTCTAAGGATTGTTGTGCCTGGTACCTAGTGTTATGGGTAAAAACAACGTGTGTCATCACTGGGGGAAGAGAAAGGGACAATCCGAGAAGGAACAGTGTAAATTTCTGCATTGTACTAGTTGTGGGCAGTGCCAATTTCATGTTCTTTTTGTGAGGATTATTTTTAATCATGCGCACAAAACACTTAGCATAGTGCCTGTCACACAGTAAGCTAAGTAAATAGTAACATTATTATCAATGATAAATATCTGTGGAATAAACATAATCTCTGTAGCTTTGGGAAAGGAGATCTCAACCAACATCCAAGTGTCACGAGAGGTTTAGGAGCATTGACAACGTTACTCCTGAAAGATTTAAAATAAGCAATTCCTGCTCGTTTTGTAATGCACTGCTCTCTTCCCAAAAGAGTTTATTTTGCTCAGCACAATAAGAACATGGGATGGTCCAGTTTCCCATGTGCTGCAGCTAATGCCACACCACAGACCAGCCCAAGGTACAGCAGTAACAAACCACAGACCATGGGTGAGTTCGGTGCTTTATTTGTCCCATGTAGTGTTTAAAGACAGAAGAGAGGCTGCAAGCCTGTGAGGATGCTATGTGCTCTCCAGACTACCCCAATCCCTGTCACTCCTTATGGTCCCTGGATGGCATCTCACTGGCTACCTGCCTGGCCACAGAACTCATCTGAGTTTGTACCTTCTTTAACAAGTCCAACCTATGTATCGTATTGTTCAGGAGGGACTGGGTAACTCCTCAGCAGTGTCTATCTCATGCAGTATCAAATCTAAGTATGTCCACAGAGTCTAGAATGAAAGAATAGGTAATCCTGTCCAGCTGTGTCCTGGTTTGCTGTCCCTGAATCATTGCTCATTACTGGGAGCCCATTTTCAACAAAGATACAGATCAACTAGACTGTCACTAGACCAGACAGACAAGGACTTAGGAAATGGAGGGCATTCAAAAAATTTTTTAAAGACTTATTTATTTATTTTAGAGGGAGAAAGGGCATGTGCATGAGTGGGGGGAGGGACAGAGGGGGAGGGAGAGGGAGAGAGAGAATCTCAAGTAGACTCCCTACTGAGCGGGGAGCCCAACGTAGGGATCGATCTCACAACCCCGAGATCATGACCTGAGCTGACATCAAGAGCCGGACACTTCACTGACTGAGCCACCCAGGCGCCCCTCACATTTTATAATGATAAGGATTCACTGATAGTATTTGGATTGGTTAGTCTGGAAAAGAGACATTTCAAGTACTTCATAGCAGGTTTTAAGTATTTCAAGGGGACTTGAGCCTTGGGGCTGTCTTGGAATGACCTTTACCGGCTTTCTTGGTTTTGAGAAGGATTCTAACAGGGAATCTTGGAACGGGGACACAGAGAGGGTTCCTTTCTGAAAAGATTCACATACACATAAAATTGCTCCGTGACCAATCATTCTGATTCCTATGGGGGTTTTCTCGGCTTGTCTTTTTCTCTTCATTAAGTCCTATTCCCCCAGAACTAACAAGATGTCAACAGATTCTACACTCTAAATCTTTTTCTTCAGGGATGACAGAGCATGAAATCCCAGGAGAATTGGAGAAGCACAAGTCAGCCAGAGGGCTTACTGGTTTGGCTAAAAGCACAGATAACAATTGCGATCTTAATTCTTATACCATTTGCTTTTTATAGGCACCTCCAATCTGGGAGATGCAGTTTGCAAAAGAATTCTATGTGCCATTCCTGACAGAGTATGGAAGTTTAGCGCCATCATTTAATAGCTAAGACACTCAACTAGCCCCTTACTTGTGTCTTCCCTTTGACTAAGTGTGAATGCATTTTTATCTCAAGTAACCTATGCAGCTGGATTTTCTGCTTTTGTTGAAGTCGTCTCAAGGAAAGTCTTCCTGGAAAACCCTACCAGCTTGTTTTGCTCTATGTGCAGGGTTAGCTGAATTCAAAAAAATACTGAATCATCTTAACAATATTCATTTCAATTACCCCTTCATCTTTCAAATTCTCGCTACTAAAATATAAGTAAGATAACTTTTTGGGGGGCGTGGAGTTCAGTCTCGTGTGGTTGTGCAGAGAACAAAAGAACAAAAGTTAGGAGCAGCAGGAGTTCTAAATAGAGCAAGTTCTGGAAATGAACTGTTTACTAAGTTTACATACTTCTGCTTTTACTCACCCATCCCCCCTCCCCACTAAAAAGATTAAAGCAAATTGTCTTGATAAATTATTATTAGCCATGACAAGTTGCAAAACAAAATGATTTAGGCACTTTACCATCTTTTCTCCTGAGGGTAGACTAGTCAAACCAAAACGTGCAACCTCTAATTTTTAGTAGGGTGTGCAAAATTGCTTTAATGCGTTTAGATTACTATTTTACGGGGGATGGGAAATTTTTTTTCTTTCCTCCCCAAATTTATATTCATTATTAGTTTATTTTCATGAAATTTAGTATGAGTTTAACATAATTATTGTTGAAAAGCATTTGTCAGATTGCTAACTGTACGTATTGCAGACTCTTGGTCTCTTAATGTAAAAGCTTCAAGACAAACTCTAGTTTCTAGAGTTTTAGTTCCTTTTGGATCAGTTTCTCTTTACAAGATTTTCTATTTGATCAAATAAAAACATCAAGTAACACTGCTGTGGTGAGTGTATGAATCTTTAGATTAGGTAAGAAAGTAACTGAGCTTTTCATTAAAATTATTTCTATAACTGAATGACTGGCTAGAAGAACATTTTTTACTGAAAATTTGAAAGGAAACAACTTGATTGCCCAACGACAAAGAATTTAAAGTATGAAATATTTACCTAATAAATATTAAGTAGTCATTAAAATAATAATTAAAAAGATCATGTGAAAAAAAAGACCATATGGCAACATAGAAAGTACTTACTATATAATGATAAGTACAGAAGCATAATACAAATTTGTATATACAGTAAAAATGTTGTTCATAAAATAAAGCATGGAGGGAAACTATCTTGAGATGATACAAGTTGTTCTATTGTGATAATATCAGAGATTACTTTTTTCTAATTTCCAGCTTTCTGTAATAATACTGTATTTAAAAAATTTTTTTAAGTTTTTTTTATTTATTTGAGAGAGAGAGAGAAAGGGAGAACAGGAGCGGGGGGTGGGGAAGGGCAGAGGGAGAGGAAAGGGAGAGGGAGAAAGAGACTCCCCACTGAGCACCTGAGCAGGGAGCCCGATGTGGGGCTCCATCCCAGGACCCTGGGATCATGACCTGACCTGAAGGCAGACGCTTAACTGACTGAGCCACTCAGGCGCCCCTGTATCGTTTTTAAAGTAAGAAACTTTCTCCCACTTTGCCAAGAGCCTTCCCCATGGAATACAAACCATTCCAAGCCATGCTATATACACTGTACCAATGCCATATCATACTGTACCATCTTACCAAATTATTTTGTAATTGAAAAGAGCTTGTCAGTAATAGAACTTAAAAACCCAGTAACCAAGATTACATCTGAAGTTATTTTTTTGGCCCATAGCTAAGGAACTATCAGGTTCCATGTTTTATTGAATTCATTATTCACCACATATTCTTTAATACCAAAAGTTCTCCTTGAACTTTTTATTTTGTTTAGTCTCTCATTTACTTAGAATATATTTTGGGTAATACTTTCATGATATACACAGAAATTCTATCTTTTCTAAAACCTTAGATATCCAAGAATTATATCTTTTTTCTTCTTCTTCTTCTTTTTTTTTTTCTTAATTTCTTTTTTTTTTAATTTTTTTTTAAAGATTTTATTTATTTATTTGAGAGAGAGAGAATGAGAGACAGAGAGCATGAGAGGGAGGAGGGTCAGAGGGAGAAGCAGACTCCCTGCCGAGCAGGGAGCCCGATGCGGGACTCGATCCCGGGACTCCAGGATCATGACCTGAGCCGAAGGCAGTCGCTTAACCAACTGAGCCACCCAGGCGCCCTTCTTCTTTTTTTTTTTTAAAGATTTTATTTATTTATTTGACAGAGAGAGACACAGCGAGAGAGGGAACACAAGCAGGGGGAGTGGGAGAGGGAGAAGCAGGCTTCCCGCCGAGCAGGGAGCCCGATGCGGGGCTCGATCCCAGGACCCTGGGATCATGATCTGAGCCGAAAGCAGACGCTTAACAGACTGAGCCACCCAGGTGCCCCTATATCTGTTTTCTTCTTACATGAGTGAAATAACAGACTAAATATAAACTTTTTAAGTTGCAATCTTTTCTTAATACACCATTTAGTTCATTATCTCAAATTTTTGTTACACAGATTCTCTAATTTTTAAAACTGATTCTGATTTTTTTAAAATAGAAAAATCTAACTTCAAATATCTTCTCAATACTTTAGGATTGTTTCTTCATCTTTATAATAAAAAAGTTTGCTAGGGTGTTTTTAAAGGTGGATATATTTCCTTATTGTTTTCTGGGTCACAGTGAGCCTGTATAGTTCCTCACTTCCCTATCTCCAAAGCTTTTTAGCTATGTCATTGATTGTATTTTGTATTCTATTAAAAAAAAAAGTACCAAACCTATTATATGTGAGTTGGATCTCTCTTCTCTATATCATCTGATTGTTTTTAGTCTTTCCCTGTAATGAGAACAAACCCTTCTCCGATTATGTTCTCAACTCTAATAACTGATTTTTTTTTATCCACCATCAGTCCTTCTCATTGTGACCAATGTGGGTTTTAATTTGCTACTGAAATTTTAGCTTCTAAGTTTATTTTATTTTTACCATACTTCCTCTTGTCACTAGATCCCTTTTCTTCATGTCATATGTTTCATATCATCCTGCCCTCTTACCTAAAATGTCTTCCATGTAGTTTGCTTTCATCTTAGCTTGACCTTGACCAC